ATGAGAACATTTAGAGAAAAATGGGCAGACTTTCAATTGGCACCTCCCATATGAATTATATACAAAATTTCGTATATCTGAGAAACTATAAAATTATTCAAATCTCATTTAATAAAAAATTTTATGTTTTTGTGTTCAATATTATATACAATCCAAAAAATATAATTTAATGAATGAAAAAGTGCCAAAAGTCCCGAAAAAGTACAAAAGTCTCTCTCAGTAAATTCTTATTTAATAAGCACCGTGCGTCATGTGTTCCAATTAACCATTATAGAGAATCCAAAAGGTATCATTTGAAGAATGGAAAAGTACCAAAGAGTTCCCACTAACAGAATATTATTCAGTTCAAATTTAGGTTCCTAGATTGAATATTTTAGAAAATTCAAAAAGTACCATTTATGAGATAAAAAGTACTAAAAAGTTCTCTCTTAAAGAATCTTATTCAGTGAGGGCCGTGTATGTTTAATAATAATGTGTTTTGAATTCATATTATAGAACATACAGAGTATCATTTGAAAAAAAAGTACCAAAAGTGGAATAAATTATACCTTAGTAGAAAGTACTAATAAAAATAGAAATGTACTTTTTTGAGAATTAACTTTACAAAATGTTCCGTATTTAAATCTATATATCACAGACAAAGCTCAAACGATTCAAATCTGCATTATTTTGTTCCAGAAAAATTGTGCTTTCAAAAAGTACCAAACAATTTACTCGAATTTGGTCCTATATATGTAGGCCTTAGTACTCGAATACCAAAATAATATACCAATAGCTTATTTTGTGTGAGTAAATAAACTACTTTTTCAAATTTTATAAAAATTGACTCAATGAGTTTTCCCCTTTTTGGTACTTTTTTCCCCAGTGAAGAAGCAAAAATTTTGTTGCAATAAATATTACAGAATTAGTCCGTAATTTAATAGGAATACTTCAATAAATCGAAAAAGTTTTCTTAATGTGCTAAAAAAAAGTGCCAAAAATACAGTTTTCTCCCTTTTTACACCCAAAAAGGACTAAACTTTGAAAAAGTACGAAACAGGTGTCTCCTAATTTTGGGAGATATATTGAAAATATTTACAAAAATGTTATTTTGTTTATTAGTTAAAAAGTCCAAAAAAGGTACCAAAATCACCTTTGTTACACATTTTCACCCCTTAAAAGTACGAATTTCAAAAAAGTACCAGACACCCATCTGCTTATTTTGGGAGTAGATACAGGTGTATTTAAATTTTTTCATGTTTCACTAATTTTAGGTAAGATAATTAAGAAAACACGTTTTTCCTTTTTTACCCCTAAATGTAGAAATTTCCAAAAATCCCTCCTTAGTGGATCTACATAACCAAAAGCACATCAAAATTTCATGATTCTAGGTTTAGCCGTTTGGGCTGTGCGATAATGAATCAGTCAGTCAGTAACGCTACTCTTTTATATACGTTTTGAAGATGTAATGTGTAGGTAGGTTTGTGTACATATGTCTCGAATGAAAATATCACATAAGACCTATCGGTATGAAAAAGTCAAACGAATTTCAGTAATTTTTCAATCAAAAACCAAATAAAGCCAAAAACCATTAGTTCTTCCTTGGTAAAATAAACATATAACAAACAAACATAAAACGAAGAAAAAGATAAATAACTTATTAAATAATTAACGGATTTTTTTTAAACAAAACTTCATATTTATCATTATAAAGGCCCCAGCATCTACACCCAGCAAAAACTCGCTAATGGGTTGTACTTCCATAACCACTTACTTTTCAATGACTACTACTTACCGCCTGCATTACTTAGAAGTACTCTAGTAATGACTTTCTTATAATCTGATAGAGAAGTACTTTATTTTCGGCATTGCCATTTTATTTGCACATTTTATTTAATTGCGTGTTATGAATTGTGTTTAACAAAAGAGAAAACAAAACCATTATATATAAAATAGATATAAAATAGATAAGCAGTGGTGCAGTGAGTAGAACATTTGACTAACAAATCGAAGTCCCGGGTTCGTATTCTAGCTGGCTCTTTTTTTATAAAAAAAAACAAAACAACTTACTCAACAACTGTTTTGTAAAAGAAATTGCAAGTACATACTTCTTTAACTCCCTATTTGTAAGCGAGCGTAGAAGTACTTGTCTCCAATGACATCACCGTGTTAAAATAGTGACTTAAAATGCTAATGAAGAAGTAGTGAAGAGAGGTTTTATTAGCTTTTTAACTCATTACTTTTCAATGTAAGTTTTTCCTGGGCACTAATCCTTTAAGTAATTTAATATAGGTTGAGATACGACTAATTTATGACTTATAAATGCTTAAAGGTATGAAAAAACGGGTTTTCTCAAAAAGAGAAATGAGTCTACTTTCCAACAAAAATTATTTAAGAATGTAGTTTTGTACTATTAATGAGAACTTTTCATATCAAAATCAATAATTTGCTAATTTTGAAAAACATCTTAAATTTTCTTGGCATAGAACATTAGTTTTTGAAATGTTCACATTATTTTGTTAAATTTTTATGTAATACTAGCTATAACCAGCGTGCTTCGCAACCCTCATCATAAAATATAAAATATTTATTGCAAATTTTCAGTAAATATCTGAAATATCAGAAAGTCGCCTTTTATAGGGTTTTAACCCAAGATTCTATGTTCAAAAAGTACCAGATGTAGAACGAAAAAGTTACCGAAAATATCCTTGTATGTAAAGAACGAAAAACTAGTAGTCCATGTTTATAGATTCCCATTTACTCATAGCATATTTTATGCTATGGTTCAAGATTTCATATTAAAGAAAACTCAAAAAATACCAGCTGAAGAACGAAAAAGTATAAAAAATCCTTTCCTACAGATATCTATGCACGCAGGACGTTGAATGTTTACTTTTATGTTTTACGTTCAATATTAAAGAAAATTCAAAAAGTTTCAGTTGAATAACGAAAAAGTGCAAAAATTCATTCCTACAGATTTTAATCAATCAGTCAATGAAGGAAAAGTACCAAAAAAATCCCCTTTTAGAGATTAAATTTTTTTCTTGAGGCTCTGCATGTTTAATTTCATGTTTTTAGGTTCAGTAATAAACTCAAAAAGTACTAGATGAATAACGAAAAAGTACCAAAATTCACTTTTATGAGATTGTCATTCACTCAAAAATTCATTCCTACAGATTTACAGTTATTCAGGACTGTAAATATTTGATTTTATGAGAGTGTGAAAAGTTCCCTTTTATATATTATTATTTACTTAGAACTCTACATGCTTAATGCTAGGTTCAATATTATGCAAAGAAAGTAACGGTTACAAAACGAGAATGTACAAAAAAAGTGTCCTTGATGCATGAGTTCCAAGTAACATCCCCTTAACATATTTAGTGTTACTAAATCTATCAATTTTTTAAATGTTATCATATTAGGCTAAGTGAGTTTGAAGAAAATCAATTTTTTACTTTTTAAAAAGTATCAGACGTCTGACAGCTTATTACTCAAAATGAACAACGATAAGTTTTATATTTTTGTTCTATCTCTTTTAATTGAAAATATATAAGGTTGCCGAATTTTCCCGTTTTAACCATTTGTACTCCTAAACATTCGAATTTCAAAGGATCCCGTCTTATCAATCCATTTTTTGTAAAGCAAATCTTCCATCCAAATTGAAGTTTTTCGGCTTCAACAGTTTAGGTTGTGTGATGACGAATCGGTCAGTGAATTTTTTGGAAACATTGAAGAAATAGCTATCTAAACTCCGTTGGACAATATTTGCTAGGATCAATAGGTGAAAAGTTACACTTATTTGAAAAAAACCCTGTATGACAAAAATGTCTAACTTTAACCCCCTCTAACTCCGGCAGTTCTTGACCGAGCTGAAACCGTGGTGCAAATTTCATCGAAATCGATTTTTAAGTTGGCTCACTTGACATGAAATTGCTCATATTTATATAGATGATACATTCAGATCAAGGTAATTTACCCTTACCGGTATCACACAGATTTGTAGAAATACTTATTAAAATAAAACAAGTAAAAAAATAAAATGTGATTTAGTTTTCATAATAAAGTGGAATAGTGCCTAGCCTGAGATATACTTAAGCTATTTATTGTTGAATAAAATTGTGGATATTCAAGTCATATTTTGAAGGGGGCTTTATATAGGGGCTAGGGTCAAATGACGCCCTAAAAGTATAAAACTCATTAGGGTCATCAAGGCAGGGATAGAACTTGATTTTGCAGCTTTCTGTCGAGATACGAATACATTAAACATAATTATGAAATTAAAAGCCCCATTCGGCGGGTTCAGTTGTATGGGGGGGTAGGTGAAATAATGACCGATGTTAAACATTTTCAATAGGCTTCGTGCCTGGGATCATGTAACAAATTTCATTTAAGTAGTTTAGCTAAATCGACTCCTAAAAAATGATCCTAAGTCGATTGGTATACTTTAAGGTGGGTATAGGACCTATATTATTGTGCGTTACAAACATCAGCACAAACCCAATATACCCTCCCCGATAAATGGTGTAGTTTTTAAAGAGTTTATTTTCGACTGTGCCGAATCTTAAATACCCACCATTAAAACATTGTCATGTATCGATATAAGCATGAACGTGATTTTCAAAAGAGGTTCTCTTCAGAATTACTATGTTGAAATGTTCAAATCTTAATATCAACAAAAACTACATTTTTCTCCTCTGTAATACTCAATAAAACCCAAAGTGTTTTTACTTACTCATCCGAGATTTATAAAAAATGCAACGACTCAGTATGATTTTAGCCATTGTCTTAATTAATATAATTACAATGCGTTAACAATGGTCTAATACTTTTAACAATTATTGATGATGAAACATTTTTCTGTTGAATGGGGAAATTTTGTACATTTTTCTAGTTTCCCTTTTATATTCTCAAAATTGTTGTAAGCCAGTTGATTGAAGTATAATTCTTGAATCTAATTTGTGTTTTGTTTATTTTTATTTTTACACCTACACTCTCACACGCACACACTTACTTCCCTGCAGTAGTCTGGAGGAACGCATTATGGATGATGATGACAAGAAATTGGTTTCCGGCGAAATACACAGACGTAGTCTAAGTCAATCTCCGCTTGAGCAGGCAGCTAAAGTGATTGTCAAGAAATTTGATGCCAGTATAAAAAGTTCCAGTTTTGGAGCCACGGTCGACGATGGTGGAGGTGGCGTCTGCTGTGCAGATAACATAGTAACATATACTACGTTGAGTAACGGAAGTGAGAATCTGCCTGCAGCACATCAACACAAAGTAATGCCTCAACAACAATACAGCAACGGAAGCGGAGATAAAATCTGTTGTGGTGATATGAGCAGAAACAAAACGACTCACATAACAGACAATTCAGATGACGAAGAAGGCCTTACTAATCCCGGAATTCAATCCAATATTGATGACAACGACATAGACGCAATACACACAAGGGATAACAATGAAATGGCTAATGACTGCACAAACACTGATGGAGATGGCGATAGGATAAATGATGAAATTGAGGTAATTTGTGTAGAATTACGTCTATTTAAGTGTGTATTTATATAATAATTAGCATATTAAACGGCTGATTTGTTTGTTTGTTTGTTTTTATTGTAGAATGTCGAGGACATGTCAAAAATACCACGTCTACCCGGCGATGGTGCACAAATGGATGATGAGATGCCATCTTCAGTTCGAGGTTCAACATCCACGTTGGCTGCAAGTTTTCGGAAGCCTCGCATTAAGCCGAACATTCCATTGCGAGTACAGTCGGTCCGTATAATGGAGAGAAAAATTCGTTACGGACCAAAGAGAAGAACAGAAAGCTGTAGTGTATTCGGCAGTACAAGTCTTGGCAAGTATTTTCAATTGTTTTCTGCATAAATCTGTATTAGGGAGATCGGTTATATCAAATAAAAATGAAAAATTAAAATTTATTAATAAGCCTGAGCTAAGAAAAACGGCCTTGGGGTCAACAGATGGTTCCACAGAGCGTGAAATCCATATATAGAAATATGAATTAATTGAACCCATATATATATATATATATATATATATATATATATATATATATATAAATATTAATAGTAAGAAAGTGTAGTTGGGCTTCACATTCAGCCTTTTTGACTAAAGTTCGGTTTAATTTCCATGATAATGTAGAGATAATAGCTACATATTTATTTGGCATTATTTAATAATGTAATTCCCCAGTGGCAGTGGCAGTTCTGTTTAGCTTGTATTTATACCTGCATTCCATTTATTGAATAAAACCAAAGCAATGGAGATGATATCATTAATCACAGCTGTTAATCACTACAAATTTTTCTGATAGTCATAATTTTCAGTAGTCATTCATCCTTTTAATATTGGTTAGATTTGATTGCCCCTTTAGCAAAATTTTACTGAGTCTAGCAAAACCTTTTTGTTGTTTCTAGATTCGGAGAAGCTTCTTATTTATCGCGGAAGTAATGCCATAATTTGTTGTAGCTAATGTTAAAACCTCTATGTGTTTCTTTGAGTATCTTACATAGCTTTGAGTTCTGCCAAGTATGGAAGCTTTTCTTTGCCTTAGTAATTGGATAGGAAACTTAGAATGTTTTGCTTATAATTTTACTGAAGGTGGAGCTGTCTTATTAAATCGTGTGGTAAACCATCATAAATCTATAGTTATGATAATTTCCCAAAATATTCCTATTACATTATTTCTAAAGTTGCAAGCAACCAGAACTTAATTCGATTAAAACATTTACGTCGACAGATATGTATATGGACAGACGTGTCTCTATAAAATATGTTATTATACCAATTATTAGACACATCGGTGCTGGGCGATATGTATGAAAACTATAGGCATGAAATGGGGTATTGTCCTACTATGACAAATTGGCTTTATAAAAGTGTAATTAGACCAATTCTAGCTTATGCTTCAATAATCTGGTGGACTGCTTTAGACAAAAAGTGCAATATCAAACTACTACAGGGAGTTCAGCGTACATGCTGCTTGGGTCATCAATGTATACTGGACACATTGGAAGGTTATACACAAACATCGGACGTGTCTGATCGTATACCAGACACATAATATGTCGGAAACTTTGAAGCGCTGATCCCAGATAGAATGTCTTGGTCAAGCGGAACATTAGAGCAAATACCAGTAGGAATCGGTTGTTACACGGATGACTCTAAATTGGGGGACAAAGTGGGGCTGGGGTTCTATATTGAAGACCCAGAAACAGAAATATACCACCGTTTACCAAATCATAGCACAAGCTTCCAGGCAGAAGTACGATCAATAACGGAATGCGTAAATTGGATTAGAATAAATATGACGCCCACAGCGCTTAATATATTTACCAATAGCCGGAAGGCAATTAGGGCGATATCAGGCGATAGAACTAAATCTAAGACCAGCAACAAAAGCTGAACTGAAAATATGGGTGAGAGAATCCCATAAGTCCTCTTGGAATAATGAAACAGTGGGTAGAACCACGAAGATCCTATGGGGTGACCCTGATGAGAGCAAGACGAAAAATCTCCTCAAAATGAGCAAGTCTGAAGTTGATGGTACGTATTCTGATTGGACACACAGGATTACGAGCACATCTATGCAAAATTGGACGTGCGGATTCAGACGAACGTAGAGCATGTGGAGAGGAGAGTGAAACTCTGGAGCACTTCCTTTGCCACTGTCAGGCATTCGTCGAAGTTAGATCCATTCCTGACTAACAATGATTGGAAGATTCTTAGGAATTACGTTCATGAAACTGAGTTTTTGAAGACTGAAAAATAAATCATTCAGTTCCCTTTTTTTCATGATAAGGAGCGCACAACAGGCCCGATAGTGACCTAGGTGTATTTCTTCGGATTTGATGTAGTATACATCCTCCTATCAACCTACCACCTACCCATATCAATTATTATATCAATTTACTAGTAAACGCCCGTATTTATAAGATATTAAGATAAATTCCTACAATAAACCATCAACAACTTTATGAAGCATTTTTGAATATGAGGCAAATCATTAAAATCTAAATTCAATTTCATTTAAAAATATACATATGATAATAACTCTTAAGAACCCTTATTACTATGAGAAATTGTTTAAAATATAAAGAAACATAGATTTTTACCTTTTGCATAAACACTTTTATAAATAAGATTTTCATTAAAAAAATCCATAAAACGAGTGCTATAAATTTTAACGGCAATGTCTAAGTGAACAAAAACATTTTTAGATATACAACAACAATAAACTTACGCAATCAATAAAAATGGATCTCTTTTTATATGCAGATTTTGATGCAGAGGAAGATGGTCACAAACTTCCATCACCACGGCCATTAAGCAACGATACCTATGCAGCATTTAAGAGTGGAAATGTTATTAAAGGCATTTTGTGCCCATCTTTGACAAACTCCTTTAAGCAAAGTTCATTAGAACGTGCCTATCTGACCTACACGCATCGACAACGGCAAAAATCGCTAATTATTGTAAATATTGTGGACTTTATACTGAAGGTGGCACTAGCCATGATCTGGTTTCTAAAGGAGACTGTAACTAAAGTTGATGTGGTATGTATGTTTTTTTTATTAATGAATCTAATGAAATTTGATGTTACAGGACGATGACATCATCATGTTCTAGATTCACATTCACATGTTTTGTTTTAATTGTTGTACTATTTCTATGTTCATGCTGTTTTACATTCTTTCTCTTCTTCTCACATTTTGCTAAAATTCAATTAATGCAGGAAGTTAATATTGCAACCGCCATAACTTGGTCAGTTTGCTGTGCCCTTTCCAATATGGCCATATGCTTTCTGGGCTATTGGCGATGTTTTGCCAACAACTACTTACATTGGGCAGCCGTATGTACATGGATACTTTTTAATATACAAGGTATGTAAAACGAAACAAATGCTATCTTTTGTATTGTTCTGTTGACCTCTATGGAGCACACTCATCACAATTTATTTATATTGTAATATCTAATAAGAGCAATTAACTTTAAATATAATTAGGCACAAAAGGATTCACTCTTAAGTAGTGTATTGTTTACCATGACAAACATCAGAAATGTTTTTTTTAAATATAAATCTAAATTTAAAAAATGCACAGTGCCACATTTGCCCAATCTAGAACCACAAAAGTAAAACCAAAAAGTTCGATTTTCGCGAATTTTAAATATATGTATATGTATGTATATGTGACCTAAAACTTCAAGTATCATGGAAACATCAGAAGAAACCCAGCAGCTTGACAAAAAGTCAATGCATCCCAAAAAAAGCCTAACCACATGGTTAGCTCTAATTCGTCTTTCGTACTTCTGAGACAACTCACCACCGTCCCTTTGTATATCTTAAACACAGGTGGCAATTTTTGTACATAGTTCTGCCGGTCCGCGTACAAGCACTTTGCTCAAGTACTCAAGTTATCCAACCTCTGACCATTACAGCTCCGTTGCTTAAGATGCAAAAAATCACTTCCTAGCACACAAGCTAGCACACTTTTCATTCATCCGACACACTCTTAGAGAACAACATCCGACACACTCACTATAGGTATACCGGCGAGTGAGATCCGTATACCCCCATATTCATCCCGTATCATATACATTTAACACCGACTCATTTCCAACGCTTAGACCCACAGTGGGGTTTCTTTAGACTTCGGAAACAGCACTGAACTCATCCCCCAATTTAGATTTCACAGTGCATCAGTCCTTTAACCGACATTCTCTTCCCGCGAATTTGGGTTTAAACCACAGCCACTACGCGGATCCCGAGCGAACATCAACCAACAGACCAGTCAGGACAGAGTGCTGCGGGCAACTGGCCACCCGTAGTACCAGATTTTGTGGTGCTCTGGTTCGACCCCATGTCAAATCTTTCCAAGGAAAGGCCGAGGATGCATTTGATCATCACCAGTTTATAGTCCCGGTATACTAGAGGTATTTGTGGCACCTCTTTTCCCCGGGATTGCAATCACACCAAAATAGTGTCTTTCATCAAGGTAACATGACCCCGGGAGGCATGTAAAAGTCATCACCAGGTTTTTGCTGGATGGGTATTATAAAAATTAATTATGTACCTTTAAGTAAGATTTGATATAAAAATTATGGCATAATCTGCATCGGTGTTAAAAATATAAAAATTTGAAAATTCTTTGCAATGAAAAAATAATGCACTATAGCTCAAAAAACAACTAAGCACCAGAACATAACAAGCGAGTTATTAAAAAAATGTTTTTTTTTTTTTTTTTTTTTTAACACACCTTAAGTAAAATATGTGAGCAAATTTGTATTTAGCTATTTAAAATTCCGTAGAGAACCCCTTATTTTCCTGAGCTAAATTGAACTGTCACGACATGTCAGTTATAATTACTATATTTATAAATAAAAATTCACATATGTATTTCCTATTATTTTGCAGGATTTGTTGGAGAAGGTGTGGGGTTTGCTGATCGAGAATACTTAATATGGTACATATTATTTGTCATATTTGTACCGTATGCTATGTTACCGTTGCCATTGAAATGGTGCGTAGTAGGTGGTACAATCACAGCTAGTTGTCATCTAACTGTAATAACCATAATTAAATTGCAACAAGAGGAAGTAAGTAATAATGAATATACACCGAAATACATTAGTATGTATATCTATGTATGTATAATGTACATTAGGGTGTATGATTACATATTATTTAAAAAAAATCAATCAATCTCGACGTTAAAATAAAAATAGCGAATCGCGAATCATTTTGGCATCGGACAGAAGTCTGTCCGTTTGTTAAATAAAATCAGCTTTTTAGAGGCACTAGATAACTTTGGAAACTAAAACTTAGATTATTCGATTAGTTGTTATTTTAAGAATTTTGATATTTAAATTAATTCAGAATTTAAAATTAATTATTAAGCTTAAAATAAATTAAATATTTTGCTAAAAATGTCCTCAGTTCCCTACAAATGATCTAAAATCCTGATCTCAGTAGAATTTGTCTAAAAAAAGTTTCAGAGGCCTCAAAAAATTTCTAACCTTAAACTATTCTTGGAAAAATAACTATAGTTAGTCTATAATCGGAAATAGGTCTCAATAATTAAGACTTCAATCCTTCCTATTAGTATGTTTAGGTATCCCAGGTTTTCCATTTCATACTAACACTTACAAAGAATTACTTTTAAAATAAAATTCCCATGTTTAAGAATACTTTGTCAATGTGAATTTTTAACTCTTGTTATTTAATATTTAAAACACTACAATATTTTTTATATTTTTATTGTCCTGTTAATAACTTGCCAACTGTACAGATGTAAATTTATTTTACTATTCCATGGGGACGATAAATTCATACGAAGAAAGCGTTTTGTGGGGAATGAATGCAAATACTTTGTACATTCACCACAAAACGTGTGATTTATTGTTAGTTTAGATATAACATTTTGTAATGCATTCTTAGAATACATATCAATAACTGTTCTTCTTCTTGTTATTCTCCTTTATATTACTTTTACAGAAATCAAATTGTGTGGCATTTCAAATATTTGCTAATTTCATTCTTTATACTGCCATTAATGTTGCCGGCATGTACACGAAGTATTTAACCGATAGAGGTCAACGACTCGCATTCATAGAAACCCATAAGGCGATGGAACATAAAAAGGAATCGGAAAAGGAATTACAAAAAACACAAAAACTTTTAGATTCAAGTAAGTTTTTTATTAACAAAATTATTACATTTACTTTAAAAGTTTAAACTAAATACATACACACATACAAATGTAGTCCAATAATATTAAATTTGTATGTATCAATTTAACAACCTCAATTACTATTCCAAGAAACCATTTAATGAAATCCTTTTGAGTTTAAGAGTCCTTAATGCATAATTTTTGTTTAAAAATCAATTTTCGCACAACTCTTTTTATTTTCCAAGTAAACACGTACATACATACATATGGATGTATGTATAAAATATCAATAAATAGCAAATTATTAGGTAAAACATACGTTTGACAACCAATATGTGCCAAAACAAAAAGGCATTCTATGTTGAAAATACCTTCAAATGAAGAAAGATCTTTGTCTAGGCCAATAAAATCTGTATGTTGTTGTATTTGTGACTTTTGAAGTCATTTCTAAAATTAAATCTCATAAATGGAGCACAGGTAAAACAATCCTTAACAGGTAATGGCTTTCTCGAAAATACTTGAGTACGTTTTCTGTCTAATACTTTTCAAATCATTAGTGTTAAGAAAATGTTAGACAGTAAGGGTCATCTTTAGAGAAATTTATATTAAAAAAGAAAATAAATTGTTATATTCAAAAATTCTATATATTTGTGTTTAAAATCTAAAGTGTTTGATATTCTCTCTTCAACAGTTTTACCCAACATTGTTAATAATCAAATTCGCAGCGAGATGTACAAAGGTACGGATCCGAATGTTGAAACGCAATTTAATAAATTGTATGTTTATCCCATGGATAATGTGAGCATATTATTTGCGGACATAAAAGTAAGTATTCCAGTGGTCCGTCTGCTCCTTCAAATCATCGTATTATAGATGTTTAATAAAAATTAATGTTTCTTTTTTAATAAAATTCAAAAATCCTTTATATACAGTGGGTTAAATGATAATTTAACAAAAAAAATATATCTATAAGGAAAATTGCAATGTTAATTGGTTATTGAATTTATATTTTGTTGTTTGCAATTTTAAATACTTATCAATTAACCTACTTGATAAACATATTCATTGCATGATAATGCCTGTTTATATTGCCAATAACTTACTATAAATACATACTTACAAACGTTTATTAACATACATATGTATGTATTTTGTTCTTTTCAACAGGGTTTTACCGAACTCGCCAGTAAAACATCTGCTCAACAACTTGTGAAAATACTTAACGACCTTTTTGCACGTTTCGATAGAATAGCAGAGGTAAGTTAAAACAATTGTTCAACAGTAGCTAACAACCAACAATAGAAACGGAATCAAAAAATATAAAAATAACGTTAAACGTAAAGAGAAAATGACATATACTATCATAGGAAAAAATGTTAGGTGGAGAAGTGTAACTGAAGATATAAATTAATGTCCTGTAAACATTTTCTATTGCTGAAATCACCCTGAAATATTTTCCATGCGGTCAGGCAAATACATTACTTATCATATTGTCGAAATATCCTTATTCTGATCTGCCGTTGGAAAGAACTCGTGGAAGCGTCTTCTAGGCATATAGAACTAACTTCTAGAAGACACACAGAAGTATTTCGCATTTAGAAGTACACAACAAGCAATTTATATGTATATCGGTTCTGTTTTTATATGAATCTTATTTTTTTTAATTTTAAGAATGTTTGGTTCCGCTCCTTAAGGGAACAAGATCTATTATACGCACACGCGTGTAAAGAGTACTCCGCAAAGCACCAGTACTGACCCAAAACTAATCCAAATATATGAATGAAACATTTTCCATTAAATGTTCCTAAGTGAGAACCACGTAGTTCTCAAATGCAATTAATTCCAAAACTACTCTCACGACTCACCACCGCCCTTATCTTACTCAAGTGCTTAAGCTATCTAATATCTGACCATAGTGTTGCTTAACATCCGAGTTGTAAAAACCTCACTTCCGTTTACAACCACGTATATGGGATGGTCTCTGTTGAGTCGGCAATAGGACCTAAAGACGTAATCGGTAGACTGAAACACGAATTCATCAAATAAGCCTTTGCTCTTACTCACAGAGAACACACTGTGGTAAATCTGGTATGAACAGTGTAAACCCTGAACATACCCGGACAAGTAAGGAAAATTGAATGGTATAAATTGTATATGATACCTTACATCCGGGATAAGACAACGTCCGAAACTCTGTCTTGTGGTCTACCGATTCCCGTGGTATTAGATTATGTGGTTCTCTGGTTCGCCCCATATCAAATCATTATTCCAAAGAAAGGCCGAGGATACATTTGATCATCTCCAGTTTATAGTCCCGGCCGACTAGAGACACTGGTAGCACTTTTTCTTTCCTCCGTGATTGTAATAACACCAAGATGAGGATCTTTTATCAAGGTAACATGCCCGGGGGTTTGTAACGCACAAATATATTGGTCATAAAACTACCTTAAAGATTGGAATCGCATTGGAATCATTTCTGAGCTGATTAAGCCATGTCCACACAGGTTCATGTAAACCTAGTTATCATTGTACAGGCTGCACTTTTTAAATATATCGGAACCAAGGTAAAATTCTACATAAATGTTTAAATTATTTTAAACATGAATGATGTCAAAATATTTCATACTGATATTATATTTCCCCATCGATAAATATTTTCATTAAAACAATGTTAAAATCACTTTCTAAAAATAACATAACATGACTATAGCTGAAGCTATTCAAGAGTCACATTACTTGTGTCGTTGTCGTACTCGAAAGTAAGCCGTTTTGTTAAATTGGCATTACACAACACAACATAAGATTTAGTCAACTTGTGGATTAACGATAGAATTTAAATGTCCTGAAATCCGATCAGTATAAATCTGACAATCGGAGACGCAGGATTTTGAGTATAGGATTTAAAGCATCGTCAAGGACTTAGGTGACAAGTGTCTATCACAGACCTTCCAGAACTAGAGAGTAATATGTTTACGAATAGAGAAGGTCCGATTTTGATGGCCCCAAATACCTCTAAAATTTCATCCTAGGAGGAACTTTGCCTCAACTGACAAAAATCCTTCTGGTCAAAATACCCTTTAAATATCAATAGGAAGGTTTCTGCTCCAATTGCGGACTATAAGTAACACTTACTTTCAGATCTATAGATGTTTTCAAAATATGCAATCATTTAAATTCAATATAAATATACTCAATATTGTTAAAAATTGAACCTCACATGAAAATTTAATAATATTGGTACAATTTCTCGGTATGTTACGGTTCGCAAAAATTTGAGTTAAAGTGGAATAGTTTAAAGGAGATTTTATTGATATAAAGTACCACTAAACAAACACAACCAACAGTCAACATGCAGTGTTAAATGTCATGCATAATATTGCCATTACGATGGCACTGATTTTTTTTACAAAATTTTTCGTTGTATTTTTTTATAATATGTTTTTCCTCTAATTAACGATAGCTAGAAAAATGTAATAATGATTTACTGATAAATATTTTTATAGATAAATGGCCGTCACCCTAATAAAATTCCACACGTACATACTTATGTATACAACGTGTTCGTCCTTGTTGTACCTATACGTTTTTATAAAATATACACACAAACATACCATTTCGGTTTATATTTATTTTTTCTCATTTTTGTACTTCTCCTGCTGTTTCAGGATAATCATTGTTTACGTGTCAAACTACTTGGTGATTGCTACTATTGTGTCTCACAATTCGAAAGTGATAACTGGAAAACACGTCCCGATCATGCAGTATGTAGTGTTGAAACTGGCCTCCATATGATAAAGGCCATCAAGGATGTTCAATTGCATACACATGTAAGTTTTACTTTTTTTTACATTTTAATATTAAATTTAAGAACTTTAAATTAAATACTGAATGAAATTCTTAAATACATATTTTTAATCCGATATTAGTAAATTTTAATATAATTTAAAAGAGATTTGATTTATAATTACTTATAAAATTTGAGATATAGATTATTGTTTTTGAGCCTATTTAAAATCGTGAACCGATATTTTTACAAGCTTTTATTTAACTTGCTTTGTTAGTTTGCTAGATGGTGCAAAATCTATAACCGAATTTTTGCCCAGTTCCCATAGATCCCCTATTCGATCTATGTTTTATGTTTGAAAATTTAAAAATTTTTAACAAAATTTTGAATCAGTTTATTGGGAACTAAACTAAACTAAACTAAACTAAACTGAATCTTAAAAAGAACTAAACTTAAATGTTAGTTCTTTCTCCATACAAACAGGGCCACACTAATGTACATGTATGCGGAATAGATAGGCGATGCTACAGAAACGGATATGTACCCAGCAGTTCGGTAGAACAGTCCCGAAGTTAAGTTTGTTTTTTTAAGTGTTCACACTCTCACTTACAAAGGGGACACTAAAAAGTCGACCTTTACAAAGAGGACATCCGTGGCGAAAGATGAATTAGAGCCAACCAGATGGTTAGACGTTTGCGGAAATTACTGTCCCAGTAAAAAAAGAGCTTCCAAAGAAGCGGAAAAGAAGTAGAATTTACTCTATGAAAATACTGAAAAAGACCTGCAGAATTGATGATTTTAATACAGGCTTGTCGTAGGAGGGATGTCCTTTTCATTTGATTCCAAATTCACTACTTCCGAATTTATTCTCAAGAAGTAATTTTTATGTTCTTTTTTGGAAGTTATTTGGAAGAAAAATTGTAGCATTATAGAATACAACTAATTTGAGTTAAATAATATGGAAAAATAAGCACATTCTTCAGCATTGGAAAAATATCATTATTTTCGTTTCTTCGGAAGTCATTAAACTCCACTTTCACAAAAGGTGGAAAAATTCACTTAGTGCTACTTTTGAAGTTGTGCTAATGTTATTCTTTTGGAAGTACTTCGTTTTATTTTTGCTGGGTGTCTTTTTCGGATGCATTGACTCTTTGTCGAACTGCTGGGTAAGCTTGTACTACAAACATACACATACAATTCGTGGCAGACAATTATAACAGTTTTATTTGTTCAAACAAAGTCAACATAGTAACCATTCGTCCATACTCACGTGTTTTCAATGGATTGTAACATAGTGTGCATATATAGATGTATGTATCTGCATTAATTGCATCCATTTATTTCGCCGAAAACTTTTCACTTTAATATGTTCAACGTCATCAAATTTAGATTTTTATTGTTTTATACATCAACGTGTTTTGGTATTCCAGTATATGTATGATGTGAATATAGGAATAGGAATATTATTTGCAAATTAATATTTTAAAAAAAGGAACATTTTTGGAACGCTTTAATATATTTACTGCCTTATTCATAACAACTTATCAAAGTTTTATAGAACAAATTTTGTGTGAAAAATTGTCTTATAAACTTTTGATAAATTGTTATGAATAAGGTCCTTAATCTTTAATATATTTTAATCCCGTTATAAGTAAAATCAAATTAAACATATTTTGTTCTATTTTGGATCTGTTAATAACTTATTTAATTATAAAAGACTTTACCAAATTTCGAAAACTAAAGTTCTTTAATCGAAATCTTTAACTTTTTTTATAGGTCGATCTCAATATGCGCATTGGCATTCACAGTGGCTCCGTTATGTGCGGTGTTTTGGGAAATAAAAAATGGCATTTTGATGTTTGGTCAAATGATGTTATAATTGCAAATCACATGGAATCTGGAGGAATTCCCGGGTAAGTATTTTGTGAACTCTTTAAATTTTGCAATGAAAAAAAATACTTCGTTTATTTTAGACGCGTTCACATATCGGAAGCAACACTCAAGTGTTTAAATGATGCCTATGAAGTTGAGCCGGGCAATGGCGGCAGTCGTGACAATCATCTGAAAATGTTAAATATTAAAACATTTTTAATCAAACGCACAGAACCATTAAGGTTGGTATTCAATTAAAAAATAAGACCTCTTCAATTACACTTCGTTATTTTTATAGTTTTGGCAATTGAAATATTTATTTTATTTATTACAATGATGTATATATACATACATCATTGTAATAAATAAAATAATAACTGAATATTTTCTTCACAGTTGTGGTTATTTCAGCATTCATAAAACAACATTAAGGTCACTCCTTTTGTATAAATTAAAAATCAAAGCCGATGTTTCTATAGAATTTAAGTATAATAAGAATATTAAAAGTTCTATAATATGGATTGTACATTGTTTTGTGTGGACCTTTAATTTAGCGAAAAAACAAATAATAATTTTGGAATACCTTAATATATGTATATTTGTAAACACTTTATTTTCAGACCGAAAAGACGCTTTGGCACACGCAGCACCCAACATCTTGCCAACAATAATGGCAGTAATACAAGTATTCCAACTGCGAGCACATCGCCGACAATTACCGGTAAAACGTTTGTACCTAAATCCGTTTCCACAACGGGTGTTCATAACGAACAACAGCAACAACAAACAACGCCCACACCATCACAACCACAACCACCACCGCCATTAGCAGCAACAACAGCAACAAATCCCACATCACATGTACCACTTGCAGCGCTACAGAAGAAAAACATTTCGTTAAGTTCATTGCCCAATGTAGTGGAAGGTGTCGCTATGGGCCCAGCTGGCCTTTCAACCGTTTCCTCACCAACGGCACCCACTGCAGTAAAGGCGAATGGCGGAAGTGTTCACAGTATACTGGATGCAATTGATCCAAAATCATTAATTACAGAAGACGAACCGACCACAGAGTGGACACCAGAAATACCATTTAAAAATGTAAGTGTCATTTATAACATTTTTTTTTGGACGTGGTGTTGTTGGCAACAATAGAAGTACTTAAGAAAGTATAAAAGCACTTACCAATTGAATTGTATAATTAAAAAAATATATAAAAATAGGTCATGTTATTCTCGCAAATTTGAATTAAATAAAAAAATATAGATGACGTCAATAACTATATTTGTATCAGTCATATGTTTAATGGGTTTTTATATCTAGGATAATCTAGCAACGTATGTATAAGGGTATATCAAGGGAATATGAAAATGGGTCTTAGATGTAATCTCTCCATTTTAAAGCATAGAGTAGATAAAAGCCATATATTCACACAATATTAATTTTACGATCAGATGTATACTTAGTCTAATATTATTATTTAATTTTTAAAATCCATACCACTAAGTGTTAGGTTTCTGCCTGGAACGCATTGAACCGATGCCCGACTCAGAATTATTTTCTGAGTAGGTTTAACCATGTTCGTCTAGCTGTCTGTCGATGATAACTTTGTGTGCAAAGTACGATGCTTTTGCTTCAAGGACCGAGTCTATAGAAACATGCTTTATGTACGCCTAAATGATGCAGCTATCAAAAAATCAAAAAATTTCCTCAATGTCCATAATTTACTTATAACATAAATATATCTACCAAATTTTTTAGGATCCAGTCTAAAATAAAGACCCTTTTGGAAAAATATTTTTTATCAACAATTTAATGCAACTTGTTGTGCTTCTGCTGATGATATTGGTCCTACAACCACTTTAATGTATACCGATCGACTCAGAATCACTTTCTGCGCGGATTAAGACTTGTCCGTCTGTCATGTCTATCCCGCTGGTTGGCTGTCATGTAAACCTTGTGCGCAAGGCCACAATTTTCAAGATATTTTGATAAAATTTGGACCAAGAATGTTCGGCATAGGGACGAAGCCTATTAAAAATGGTTGAAATCGCTCCATTATTTCACCTAGCCCCCATACAACCGGATCTCCCAATTTTGCTTTTTATGCCATAACTACGTCAAATTTACTAGTATCTGTCCAAAAATCGGCACAACTAAGTTTTACATAAGCACAAATGACACTACCGATATTTGTAATGATCGGCCCATATATGATACTCTACACCTACTCATGGTGCAGGGTATCATATGGTCGGCAATGCCCGACTATACTTCCTTACTTGTTTTTTATTGTGATTATGATTGAATATAAAAATATATTTTTTTTTAATTATTTCACTACACTTTTATTTACAGTTAAATTCTCCCGATGAAGGCATTATACGTTCCGATTCAGTTTTAGGAGATCCAAGACAATCACAACGTGTTTCAGTTACTCCACTGGATGAGGAAGTATGGATTCTTTCAAAAACAAACCATGTACATGTTTATAATAAATATTATTTATTTTGCAGATAGATGAATTCATTGAGCAGAATATACAAATTAATTCGAATAAGAAAATTCGACGAGAGTACCTTAGTCCATGGACATTAAAGTTTAAAGATAGAGATCAAGAGTTGAAATTCTGTCAATTGCGCGAAGACATGTTTCGGTAAGTGAATATATATTTTTTTGTACAAAGTAAAAAGTTAAGACAATAACTCCTCGAACTAAAAGTTATGGAAGATTTATTAACTTTGTTTCATTGTTTTTATGGTCCATATAAGCTATTTAAAAATATATTTAATTTAATCTCACTTTTTAGCTCCAACATGTTGTGCGTATTTGTAATATGGATTTTCATAGTATTGTGCCAAATTATTATTATACCCCGATGTACAAATCTCTTAATATGCTTAGCAATAGGAACTATTATTTTAATATTTAGCTGCATAATAGTCATGGCTGAAGAATTTTCAGGTAAGTTTAACTAAAAACAGAGTCGAAAATTTTGAATAACAATTTGATGTAATTACTACCAATTTTATAACCATTATGTTGCCATAATCATATTTTTGCAAACCTATATTCCACGAGGATCTAAAAGTATATAAATTAAATCTGATAAAAGCTCAATGAGATCTTCCGTTGGGAAACAAAGTTCTAGATTAATGCGGGCTTTAGATTAGAATTAGATTAGTTGTAGCAAAAACTCGCTCTCTCGAAATTTTAGCTTTATTTAATATTTTAAAAGTTGAAAGTCAATATTTTTCTTTTTGTTAATTTTTAAAATTCCACCGAATTGAGTTCAAAATTTTGAACGTTACCATTTTGTTTATGCAGTTTTTAATACGAGTTTTCTTTTTACTTCTAGGTCTACCGGATGTTCTTAAACGAAATTCAGCAAAATTAGTACATCAACGACAACGTCGTACCTATTTCATATGTGCCATTATCATTCTTATGACAGTCTTAAGTTCAGTTGGTCTTATTCTATGCCCATCCTCGACATACTTCGATGGTAGTGGCAACAATAATAACAACGAAAGCGAGAAACGTTCTACACCATCGGCCGATACTTATAAAGCAATATCCAATCCAGTTAACGGCAGCAGCAGCAGCAGAGTGGCTATTATCAATAACGGTGAAAAGGAAATAAAATTGAATGTTGTTCTCTCAGCCACCATACATCACAATATTACAATAAATGGAGCTGGCAGTATTGTTGATGCCAATTCCTTGTTGGTGGACAATTTAGCAAATGCTACAACAAATGAATTGATACGCCGCAGTATAGTGGATGCCTTAAATCTTACACAGACCACAAACAACATTCTCAATAATACGATCGAACCATTTGAGAAGTCTCAACGTTCTCGGGTACTTGGCAATCAACACAATGAGGATACCAACAATAGCCATATTCAGAACAATTTCATGATTCCAACGGATGACAACTATACGCTATTTTACACAGATTTATTTTTACGTAATGAATCCTATTCACCAGACTGTGCCCATCCCGAGTACATCGTATTTACTTGGATCTTGTGTTTAGTGTCGTTGGCAACAGCACTTAAGCTGTACTATTTGGTCAAAGTGATAATGGCCATTTGCATGGTTGCATTTTATACTACTCTGATTCAATTGGTATTTCCACTTATATATCCCAAAGATTTAATTGATCTCGAACAATCACGTCTCGGCATGCCATTGGGCGTTCAAATGTTAATACTTTTGGTATCATTTTTGGTGATGGTTTGCTATCATGCCCGTTTAGTTGAAGTAAGTTTGAGTTTCCTTAATAATTGAGGAAATAATTAATAACAGAATAATTTATATTTCAATAGGTCACATCACGTTTAGATTTTATTTGGAAGGAACAAGCAGAACGGGAATTAATAAACATGAAATCTAATCGAGCATTAAACGATACATTAATTAAGAATATTCTACCCGACCATGTTGCCGCTTACTATTTATCCGATGAACATACAGACGAACTGTATTCGAATATGCACAATTTATGCGGCGTCATGTTTGCTTCTATACCAAATTTTCAAGATTTTTACTCCGAGGACATTGACAATGGCAAAGCCTGTATACGAATATTAAATGAAATTATTTGTAAGTTTATAGTTCGATTTTATAAATTTTAGCAGTATTTTAAACACATTCATTAATCTATTAAAGGCGACTTTGATGAACTATTGGAAGAGTCACGTTTTGCCTCCATTGAGAAGATAAAAACAGTTGGTGCCACTTACATGGCAGCAGCAGGCTTGAATTGCGATTCGTTGAGAATGCGTGGTGAGACTTCTGAGGACAGTGTTTGCAGTTTAGTGGAGTTTGCTTTTGCTATGAAACAAAAATTGGAGGATATCAATAAAGAGGCTTTTAATAATTTTCAATTGCGAGTGGGCATATGTAGTGGTTCCTTGGTAAGTGGTGTTATTGGAGCCCGCAAACCAGTATACGATATTTGGGGGAATACAGTAAATGTGGCATCACGTATGGATTCAACTGGCGAAAATTGGCGTATACAGGTGCCAGCTAGTACCGCAGATTTACTAAAGGCCAAAGGTTATACATGTGTGGTAAGTTATTAATTAATAACAATCAAATCCGTAAAAATTCATTTGTTACTCGTTACAGAAACGTGGTGATATCAATGTTAAAGGCAAGGGGATTATGACTACTTATTTTGTTCTTCCACGTGGAGTAACCGAGAGTCAATTATCTTCACCTGTGCACATGCCAGCTGGTATACCCATGACACAAACACCCAATCTACAGCGGCAAACTTCACATCACGGTTCATTTAGTGCAGTTGTCTTTGGAATGCTTCAAGCTTCCAAGCGAAGTACAAATATGGCAGGAACTCGTAAGTTTACAATTTGAAATTTTACTATAGATATTTGTCCAATTCGCAATCGGCTATGGTTTGTTTTCGAAACTAAAAAAAAAAAACTATTTTTGCATCAAAATGGACCAGCTATTGGTCAATTATGGACCAGACTCTTCAAATATTTATAAGATGAACCTATAAATTCATTCAAATTTTAATTTATCATAAATTCAATAACTTATTAAAAATTATTTGCTGAAAACTTTCGACATTTAATCAGTACTTATGCATGTTTATATTAATGTACATATACATCATAATTTTACAGCTACTGGTACACCTTCACCACAAATAAGAAGAGGTCATAGAGGCAGTACATTTAGTTCAGTCCGTCTGTCACAAAAGGCTACCATCAACAATCCTGTACGGCGAAATACTACTAGAGTTCGTGGACGTTCTTATCGCCAGAAAAAGGTAATTTACTGCTAATTTAAAAAAATAGATAAATTCAGATTATTTAATTTAATTTATAATTATATTTTATTTCAGAGCTCTTCCAACAACTCAATCGTTACACAAACAAGTGGTTCCTATTTACCATCATTCCGTCGCATCGATCAAATCGAAACAACAATATCAAAAAGTCAAAATGATGCATTATAGCGTTTACGTTACTGGGTCTAAAATCCTAAACGCCAGGAAAGCAGATAGATGCACAGGAATTTAATTTAATACGTCTTTTATATAGATTTATGTAAAAAGTACTTAGTACAAGTTAATTATTTACGGAAACAGATACGTAATGTCAATTTAAAAAATAATGACGAATTGTAATGTAAAAATTTTATTCAAAATACAAACATACATACAAAGTAATTAATTAAGTACATCACAACTATTTTCATAATTATTTTATAGAATGTTTTCATTTAGTATTTAATGTTTATGTATTACTAGCTATACCCAGTGTGCTTCGCTACCCTCATCGTAATGGAATAAAATAAATATTATTGTAAATGTATATATATCAGCAATATCAAAAAGTCCCCTATTTAAATTTATGTTTATATATTCAATATTTAAGAAAACTCAAAAAGTACCAATGAAGTACGAAAAAGTAACAAAAGACCTCTTTTATTTAATTTCATGTTCCTAAGTTCAATATTATAGAAAATTAAAAAAGTACCAGTTGAAGAACGAAAAATTACCAAAGGGTCCCCTTTTATAGATTCTCATTAACTCCGGGCTCCACATGGTTAATTTCATGTTATAAAAAACACAAAAAGTACCTTTTGAAGAACGAAAATTACCAAAAAGTCCTCTTTTATATGTTCTCACTTACTCCGGGCTCAACGTACTTAATTTCATGTTTCTAGGTTCAATATTATAGAAAATTCAAAAAGTACCTTTTGAAGAACGAAAAAGTACCAAAAAGTCCCCTCTTATAGATTCTCATTTACTCCAGGCTCTATATGCTTAATTTCATGCTTCTAGGATCAATATTATAGAAAATTCAAAAAGTACCTTTTGAAGAACGAAAAAGTACCAAAAAGTCCCCTTTTATAGATTCTCATTTACTCCAGGCTCTACATGCTTAATTTCATGCTTCTAGGATCAATATTATAGAAAATTCAAAAAGTACTTTTTGAAGAACGAAAAAGTACCAAAAAGTCCCCTTTTATAGGTCCTCACTTAATTCGGGCTCTACATGTTAATTTCATGTTTCTAGGTTCAATATCATAGAAAATTCAAAAAGTACCTTTTGAAGAACAAAAAAGTACCAAAAAGTCCCCTTTTACAGTTTCTCACTTAATCCTTTTACAGTTTCTCACTTAATCCAGGCTCTACATGCATACTTTCATGTTTCTATTTTCAATATTATAGAAAATTCATAAAGTACCTTTCGAAGAACGAAAAAGTACCAAAAAGTCCCCTTTTATAGATTCTCATTTACTCCAGGCTCTACATGCTTAATTTCATGCTTCTAGGATCAATATTATAGAAAATTCAAAAAGTACTTTTTGAAGAACGAAAAAGTACCAAAAAGTCCCCTTTTATAGGTCCTCACTTAATTCGGGCTCTACATGTTTCATTTCATGTTTCTAGGTTCAATATCATAGAAAATTCAAAAAGTACCTTTTGAAGAACAAAAAAGTACCAAAAAGTCCCCTTTTACAGTTTCTCACTTAATCCTTTTACAGTTTCTCACTTAATCCAGGCTCTACATGCATACTTTCATGTTTCTATTTTCAATATTATAGAAAATTCATAAAGTACCTTTTGAAGAACGAAAAAGTACCAAATAGTCCCCTTTTATAGATTCTCATTTACTAAGGGCTCTACATAAATTTTATAGAAAACTCAAAAAGTACCAGTCGAAGGACGAAAAAGTACCAAAAAGTCCCCTTTTATAGATTCTCATTAACTAAGGCCTCCGCATGCTTAATTTCATGTTTCTAGGTTAAATTTTATAGAAAACTCAAAAAGTACCAGTCGAAAGACGAAAAAGTACCAAAAAGTCCCCTTTTATAGATTCTCATTAACTAAGGCCTCCGCATTCTTAATTTCATATTTCTAGGTTAAATTTTATAGAAAACTCAAAAAGTACCATTCGAAAGACGAAAAAGTACCAAATAGTCCCCTTTTATAGATTCTCATTTACTAAGGGCTCTACATGCTTAATTTTATGTTTCTAGGTTAAATTTTATAGAAAACTCAAAAAGTACCAGCCGAAGGACGAAAAAGTACCAAAAAGTCCCCTTTTATAGATTCTCATTAACTAAGGCCTCCGCATGCTTAATTTCATGTTTCTAGGTTAAATTTAATAGAAAACTCAAAAAGTACCAGTCGAAGGACGAAAAAGTACCAAAAAGTCCCCTATTATAGATTCTCATTTACTCTGGGCTCTACATGCTTAATTTCATGTTTCTAGGTTAAATTTTATAGAAAACTCAAAAAGTACCAGTCGAAGGACGAAAAAGTACCAAAAAGTCCCCTTTTATAGATTCTCATTAACTAAGGCCTCCGCATGCTTAATTTCATGTTTCTAGGTTAAATTTTATAGAAAACTCAAAAAGTACCAGTCGAAAGACGAAAAAGTTCCAAAAAGTCCCCTTTTATAGATTCTCATTTACTCCGGGCTCTACATGCTTAATTTCATGTTTCTAGGTTAAATTTTATAGAAAACTCAAAAAGTACCAGTCGAAGGACGAAAAAGTACCAAAAAGTCCCCTTTTATAGATTCTCATTTACTCCGGTCTCTACATGTTTAATTTCATGTTTCTAGGTTCAATATTATAGAAAATTCAAAAAGTACCTTTTGAAGAACGAAAAAGTACCAAAAAGTCCCATTTTATAGATTCTCATTTACTCCAGCTCTACATGCTTAATTTCATGTTTCTAGCTTTAATTTTAAAGAAAACTCAAAAAAGTACCTGTGTAGAACGAAAAAGTAGCGAAAAGTCCCTTTATTATTAATTTCATGTTTCTATTTCAATATCATAGAAAACTCAAAAAGGACCAGTTGGAGAATGAAAAGTACCAAAAAATATCACTTGGTACCGGGGTTCCAAATAACACCCCATTAGGATATTTAGTGTTTCTAAATTTAAAAATTTTATTTAAATTGGATCATTCTGGTTGAATAAAATCAAATTTCCCGTTTTTACCCCTTTTGGTACTTTTTTCCTCCCCATTAACGAAATAAAAATTCTATTCCAAAAAGTTGCAACATCGTAGTGGGAGCCCGTTATTATGTATTCATATGTATAAGTTAATAAACCAAAAACAATGTTTTATGAAAAAAGTACCAAAAATAGGTACAATTTTAACCCCTTAAACGTCCGAATATCCAAAAAGTACTAAATTCATATTTTTGTTTTTTCGTTAAGTTATAAAGGAGTCAAAAATATTTTTTGAATGTGCACTGGTTTAAAAGATACATGGGGTGCGAAAAAAGTACCAAAATACAGTTTTTACCCGTTTATTCCCTAAAGGGGTCGAATTTTAAAAAAGTACCAGACACCTGTCCGTTTATTTTTTAAATGAACGGCGAAAAGCTTTAAACTGTTTTTGTATCTTTTCTAGTTTAGGAGATATAAGGTTACCGAATTTACCCGTTTTTACCCTTTTTTACCCCCTAAACATTCGAATTTCCAAAAATCCCGTCTTAGTGGATCTATTTGGCGGGAGACCAACCTCCTGTCCAAATTTCAGCTCTTTAGCTTCAACCGTTTAGGCTGTGCGATGATGAATCAGTCAGTGAATCAGTCAGTCAGTCAGTCAGTCAGTCAGTCAGTCAGTAACGTTAGAATTTTATATATATAGATAAATATTGTTCAAAAGACCTAAAGTGGTTAAATTTTAGTAAGGACCGGCCGTATAACTGGTCCTTACTTTAAAATTATATTATTCTTTCAAAATTTAAATGTCATGTCGTTCCTTAGGGTAAACTATAAAATCTAAATAGTTTGTAAATCATTAGACATCCTCATTAATATTTGTATTTTAAAATACATATTTTTGCACGTAAATACATATAAATATTTATTTAATTTCATACATCATTATTCATTAAGTATAAATATTTAACCATGATTGTTAACCTTCCTTTACTCTATAAGTCAGATTATTCACCACAGGAAAAATTTTATTCCTTCCGCAATTAGTTCTAAATCACATAATTATAGTTTGTACTTGTTTTATTTTGACGATGAGACTAATTTTTATTCGAAACTGTTACTTTCGAAAGTGGTTCTATGAAAGCTCTATGGAACGATTTTGAAACTAGTTCTTTAATTTAAAATAAAATTGTTCTCCTCGATAACAGTTATATGACAGCTTGAGAGGCTGGAACCAGTTATTTTTTTAATGAATTTTGTTTTTAATTGGGACCAATATTTAGAAACAGGAAATCCTACTTAGAATATCTGATTGTAATAAATTATTCTTTCATCCTCCACTATATCTTTTAAACGATAAACGAAACTAGCTGAATAAACGAATGGATTCTGGATATAATGGCCTGAAGTGGTTATGTTTGCACCTGCTGTAGAACTATTTAATATAGGTGTTAATAGTTTGGTGAGGGTATAGGAAGGTTAATAGTTAAATCCTAATTTTAAAATCCTTACTTTTACTTTTAGTACCTTCTTCCAGTTACAATTTGAAGCTTCCTTTGTTCATTTAATTTTTAAAATCGTTTAAAAATTGTGATTATGTTTATGTTCTAAATTTAGTTTTTTATATGCTAAATTTTAATTTGTTTATATAAAATGGCTCATAATTATGTATAAGAAAAGTTACAATCTTAAAAAGTTTTTATTGTAATGTTTCAAAAACAATCCTAGATACTTACATACACACACATAATATAAACTTATACATATTGTATGTGCTGCAACAGATTATCACTTATAAGAGAATAGTTTTTATTTAAAATTTAACAAATATTTATTGTATTGTTAGCACTATACATTTTAAATCTCCAGATACATATATGTATGTCTCCCTAAAAATTCTTTTTAATTTTCATTATTTTAAATAGAATTTGGTACAAAAAAGTCATAAAAAATAAAGAAAATAAAAATGTTCCCATTATTTAAAATTGATTTTGGTTTTTGAAAGAAGAAAATAGAATTTTCTTTTTTAATTAAAATGTACTTTTTAGAACTTTTCGAAAATTCATTGGCTGTAGAAAAATAAATTAATACTTTGAAAAAACAAAAGGTCAATACTTCACGGTTATGATGGGGGAGAATATTGAATAGGTCATTCCGTTTCTAACTCGATTACGACATGGGAAGCAAGTAGTAACCACGCTTGCTTACAAATAACTACTTAAATAAGTACTTACAAATAGGAAGTTATAAATTTGTTTAGTTGTTTATCTAAAGTTTGAGAGTGTAATAAATACTTGTTTGTGTTTCGTCAGAATATTTTAAGATGATCTAGCGGTGACTGTACGTCAGTCTGAATAGGCTTCGACAGTTAGTGCCGGTCCACACACAGAAACTTTAGTTGAGAAACTTTTTCTTAATTCTCTTTTAAAGTTTCCTTAATGTCTACACATAGATACTTTTGTTTCAGAAAGTACGTGTTAATTGCATTGATTTACGCATTATGTTATTATACTCCTGCCTGGCATTTAGTGTTGTAAGAAGCTACCAGTTAGGTAAACGGTGGTAAAATTATGTTTCTGGGTCTTCAATATAGAACCCCAGGCTCACTTTGTCCCCCAATTTATGCTCTAATGTTCCACTTGACCATGACATTCTATCTGGGATCAGTGTTTCTAAGCTCCCGATATATTCTGTGTCTGGTATGCGATCGAGCACGTCCGATGATTATGTACAGCTTTTCAATGTAAACGCTTTTGGATAGTTCGAATAAAGTTATGAGCCGTTAAGCTATAAGTGCCGCCTCATATCTTATATATGTTTCAAGGGGTGGAATATCTAGCAACATATTCAGAACCTTGGTTAACGTAGTACTCACACTCACCTTGGTTAACGCAGAACTGACATATTGATTTATAAAGCCAATGTGTCATAGAAGGACTAAAGCCCCATTTCATGTCTATGGTTCTCCTACATAGCGCTCCTATATAAGGTCTCCCACAGAAAATTACTGGCAAAATTTTCAGCCTCTAGCTTCTCTCGTTTATATTCAATCGATTTCCGGCACGGATTCCCGTTATCCGATTGGGCTAAAATTTTACACAAGTAAGCTTTATAATCGATAGTTTTTGGACACTTCTAATGTCCATACATATGTATACGAACAAAAAATAGTATTAAAAGTGCAATATTTAGATCAATGCCATCAATATCTGTATTCGACTATGTTAATTAAAAATAAAACAGATACTTCTTAAAATGTAAAACAATGATATCATTTTGTTGTCATTACACACATGATTTTAAGTGTAATTTAAATACAAAACAAATAAGGAGTAAAATAGCATTTGAAAACATTAACATCTCTGTGAAAAAAAAAAACAATTCCAATGAAAAAATATTGTTAGAAAGTGTTTTTGATAGTAAAAATCCAATTTTTAAAAAAACAACATTAGTAAATCGGACAGCCCTGTTATTAAATTTATTTTATTAAAATATCCGAGTTTGACTTGAAGCGATTGTATAAAAGAGGGATGGTAAAATTATGAATTAACCCATTATTAACTACTATAACAAATTTCATTGTATAAAACGTATAAAATTATTCATGAATATAAAATTTAGGAATTCACACGGTAACCATGCATGCGAAACGTTCATTCATTTGAATCTAAAAATACTATTCATAAGTCCATTAACCTGTAAACACCACGCAAATGATAAATGAGAAAGTCTGTCGTATGGCTCTGTGTCAGTTAGTGAAGTGACCAAAAGAATAGTGATTGATGCATAAGAATAAAATGAACTCGTTTAGTTTTTACGTTTTCTGAAGCAACAAGAATTTGAAATTTTAATATACAGCTATGGGAAATGTAATTCAAAATGATTTCGGAATCCAAGTATTAAAAAAATTATGACGTAATTATCGATCGTTCATTCACTCGTGCTTCCGTAAGTTAGTTGATAGTATTGTAGTCTGACAGTACGTAGGTCGAATGTGGGTTTCTTCGGATCCGATGAAACATACATATATCCTCCTTTCAAACTAATTATCGATCGGTAATATAGTAAGTTTTATTATGTTTTTAATAATAATATAAGATAAAATTAAAATTTTTATGAATTAAAACTAAATTTCTTATTAGAAAAATTTCTTTTTTTTACATATGTGCCAAACCAGTCAAGTGGAAAGCCTTGTACATTAAATATTCAAATTATTATATTGTCATCCGTAGTGTTCATGTAGATATTGTATTTGTTATTATTTAGATAGAATATCGTATGAAACGGTTGCACGTGGTTTAATTTTGAACATCATCTGAATTTATCTGTCGTCAATTTATTCATCTGTTTCTTTAACATGAAAAAAGGTACATATTGTTGTTTTAAATTTTATATATTTCTCTACTGTCATGTTATTTTTCGGTTGGTTCATAATTACTGAAACGTAAAGAATGAATGAACGTGGGAAGTTCACTGTTAACTTGTCATAAATACATGCACATTAGGGAGACTTTTTTGCCTTAAGAATATTTTTGGAAATATTAACGATTTAACGAAATATGTCGAACATACCCCACCGACAATCGGGCATGAACTTCCACTAATAAATATACATACATATACATATTCTGGAAATGGGATCGTAGATATGAGGCCCCACTTGGAACCCGATGGTGTACCACATAGACTGGATGTTTTTATGACAGAAAGGGCCATTAAATTTCTAGAGCGTGCTCGTTCCTTGGAGAACGATTTGATTATCGGCTGTTTACTGGGAATAGAGATCTGGAGACCATTCGGTTATCAAGAAACCTTTCCCCTGCAGACCTTTTAACCTTGCTGATCTTTTCTTCTAGGGTGTAAATCTCATCTTTTATCATAGGAGAATAAATATACTAAATATTGCTAAATAGAATTTTGTAACTATCTCTTGTATATAATTCAGTTAGTGACTAGAAGTAAGAGTGCCATGGATTCAGCTAAGCTGCATATGACAGATTTATACCGAATATTTTTGGAAAATATCATTAGTAAAGTAAAGAATATCAATAAAACATACATAATTGTATTCGGCTTTAAGTTTAAAATTATTTGTAATGAAATAAATTTATGGGATTAAATGAACAATTTAACGAAGGGGTATTATTTTTTTACAACAGGTGTTGGTGAATTTTCGATTAATGAATATCTTTTACAATAGTTATTATACGTATGTATAATAAATTGTTACATTTAAAGTAAAAAACATTTACCAAAATAAATTCCGATCAACACCAATTATAGAATAAAATCCTTACAACACTTCCGAGAAAATAAAAACGCTATGCGACAATAATGGACAGTTAAAATATTTGCTGGCACCACAAAAATTCGTTGTCTACGATGGTTTGTAAAAGCCCATGTCCGTGTTCAATGGTAATATTTTTTCAATTAACCACTAGAGAACAAAACGGCGCCATATATTATTTCTCATTCATACAATTGAATATACATATGTATGTATCTATGTAAATCCACATATCCTTTGTGGATACATATTCCGAAACAACATACATATGTATGTATGTTCATATATGCAGAGAAATATTAGTACAAATAATTTACAAGAAAAGAAACTCAAATTTAAATATTTACACACATGATGTATTGTGTAGTAACACTTTTTGGCATAATTACAAGTGATACAAGTCAAGTGGTTTTTTCTGTAAACAATGTTTTTTCAATATCGTTTTTCTTTATCCACAGATAATTAAACAACATCTGTGTCATAGTATTATTTGGTTATATAACATTTTTATTTCAGGTTAACTTCCTTGAGTTCCCTCCCCTTTAATGAAATTACATTCGCTTTTTCGTTGTCGATTATTCCCGAGTTTTGTCGATTTTGCCCATTTTGTCCCTTAGTCCGTGTATTTGCTGAAATCAGTATTTTAAAGTTTCCAACATATACTCTGTATGGTCTTCCAATTTTACCAGTTATAACCGCCATTGTGTCAGAACGATTGCAATCACTCTTTTATTTTTTTAGTTGTATATACATATATGGGTAATTTAATGTCAAGTGACCCAACTCAAAAAATCGATTTTGATAAAATTTTTACCAAGGTTAGTACTATTGGATTGGCTTTCTTTTGAGTAAAAAAAATACAACAAAAACGACTAAAACGGTCAAATATTGAAAAAAAAAATATTCTTGAGTTAAAAAATCATTTTTTTGATAGATGTCACACTCGCATCCCATAATGGGACTATAAAGCCCTTAAAAGAAATTGTATAAGTTTTCGTTTAAGCAAAAAAGGGCCCATTTTTAAAAAAAGTAAAAAAAAAAATTATTTAAAAAAATTAAAAAAAAAAATTAAATTAATACAAATTGTTTTGGAAACAATTTTGAGCTCCTTAGGACAATTTTTGCTAGGACCAATAGTTTGGCAATTATTGACCGATAAAGCTTTGTGTCTGGCCTACTATCCCATAATTCTAATTTTGGCGCAAATTTCAGCCAAATCGGAAGACATCGATTTTAAAAGTTCGGTTACTTGACACGAAATTCCCCATATTTTTACATAAAAATACATCTAATGTGGGCTTTACACTATAAGACTTTACGATTTAATACCGATAGAAAATTTGTAGACATTATGGTACGCAAAGTTTATGCTAATGGTAAGCTATTTTCAGACGTGGATGAATGCGATTCGGTGGGTGAACTCGATGAGTAATCGAATTTTTTAAAGTAACAAAAAAAAACAGAGTAGGAAACATTAATTATGCTACGTAACAGCAAACAATTACTTAAATTATGACCTTACATATTTACATTGACAATTTTTTATTTATATTGGTCCGTCATTTGACGTACATGACAACGGATTCTAGCTGTTTCCCTTTTTAGGCTGGCAATTCTGATATCCATTGGCATGTATTGACATGCCATCTGGCAGCACTACGGAATGTGTTTCATGCCCATATTGTTTCACGACCTCTACAAATGTTACTCTGGCTACTCTCCCTTTTAGTAACTAATTTAACGTCTGACTATTTTGTTGTTTGTAACGGATGTCGTCGCGCAAGAAAATCAAAAACAAGTAGAGTTAGTATAAAAACAATTTGTCATTAGCTCTTTTTTAATTTTTTTTGTTGCGATTGTTTCTTGTTCGTTCACATGAAACAAGAGAGCGTTGTGTGTGTCGGCATTTCGTGCAAGTGAAAAATAAAAAAAACTAAGAATAAAAAAATGTAAAAGTGTAGAAGAACACCGGAAGTTGAATGTTATTTGATAGCATTAATTGGAATTAAAAATTACAACAAAACAAGAAAAAATATAACAACACAAAGTAAAAATACAAGTTAAACAAAAATTATACAGAAAATTTTTAAATAGAATCTACAAATAAAACGCAAAGAAAAAATAAATAGAAACAACTACCTACGTGACAAGAAAAAAATTGGAAAAAAGTAATGCAAAATGTATTTGTCAGTATGAAAAAGAAAAAAATTACGCAAAAATCCATAATTTATACAAATCTAAAAGTAAATTGTTTAGAATAGAGAATATTTTTTGCTCATTACTTAAATAAGCAATTACTAATAATTAATGTTCATAAAAGAAAAATACAAAAGCAAAAACAAAAACAAATAATTAATATATGCAAAAGTAGTGAAAGTGTATGTGTGCATGGGTAGAGACAAATTGCAATAATACCAAAAATGAATGAAATTTATATTTATTAAATACACAAAATATAAAAAATTTATCTTCAATGAAATACTTAAAACACACCTTCCTTCCTACCTACACACATGCGAGTACCGAACGCCAGCTAACTCGTCGAGATTGTCTTCTCTCTGCCTCTCTTCTTCCTCACACGAAATAACACAATGTTGTTAATATTGGATTTAAAAAAGCGTTTGCAAACAAATAACTCTTTAAATTGTAAATATGCAATGCTAAATTTAATTTTGCCTTTAACAGCGGGTTAATGGATGTTTTTTATAGTTTATGTTAAAAATAAATAAATTATTAGTATTTCATTTTTCAATTTATAAATTGTTTGGATATCACATTTAAAAAGCGGCCATTATTAGATTTAGTAATGATTTAAAACCGGTTTTTATGGATAAAGTGCTTAGCTAACCATTGTTAACTTTAAAATTAGATTTTGCATAAGGCAAGTGAGCATTAAAAACACTTAGCAATAATATGTACATACATATATAATGTTTTAGCGGAATCGTAATATATACATAATATATTTTCATATTTTCAAAAGTTTATAAAAGTCGAAAACTCGTTTAATAACTGCCTTATGCAAAAACGAATATTAAAGTTAACTTTATAATCGTTTCTGCATAAGGCAGTAAATGATCATTAGAACATTTTGTGTAAAACTTCTTCCACAAAATTGATCACACCATATACAATTTTTTTTTTCATTCATTGGAACACCGAATAAAATAATATTTGTATACCAGTTGATAAATTTTTTTAAAGATTTCTTCAATTAAAATAAAACGAATTGTTTTTTCTTTATTAATGTACATTTGTACATACTATTTATGAAACTTTTCTTAAATATACATACTAAATGTTCAAAAGCTATTTTATTAGTTTTCTCTTTTAATAATACAGTTAGCCATTTGTGCAAATTTTGCAAGTTTGCACATGTGTTTCATAAATCTCCTTACTATGTTGTTAACTTTATTTAATGTAAACAGTTCATAGTATTTATGTAAATGTTTTTGTACATATTAGGGCTTAACTTCTTTAATATTTTGCTAATATAAAAATAGCCCTAGCATATCAGAATAGACCATTAAAAATTACAAAGAAGTAATATTTTCTATTTGAGCTGTTGTTGAAAAAGTTCAAGCACAAATCGCGTTAAAGTTTGTAACCTAGATTTTTTAGATGAATAGTTTTTGGATCCAATTTGGAATATTTATGTTTTGGGGGCTAGATTTGAACTATAAAGTAACGTGAATGAATTTCGGTGTATAGTCCAAATAAAAACGAATACCTGCAACGGAAAGGGCTATTTTATAACTAGGACAATATGGATAATCATCAGCAAAAAAAAACGGAATGCAGTGTGTAACCAAAGCAATATTGGGATAGTTAATCCTTGGTAGAATCCCTATAACATAGGTCACCTGTTAGATCTTATTAGGAGAACCAATTGACAATTTATATCCACTTTTTATATTTTAGAATTCTGTATCTTAAATGCCTCAAATACAGCTCTCAAATTAGCTGACAATGACCCTAAATATATTTTCTGTTAATAATAACTATATAGGCACATAGATTTATATCAATGATTAAACTTCTCCAAAATATTCAGAGGTTAATACTTTGAACATTGCAACATTTGAAGCTACAAGTCAAAAAATGCATCCATAATCAGTTATAATGGGCAAATTTATATACATATAAGTATAAAGAAATCCATTCCTTTATTTTTTTTAAATATGTATGTAGTACATTCAAACCTCGACTTATACGAATTTAAATTTAATTTTAATCGTTAGTTCCTTAGCAAAAATGATTTTGAGAAAGTTTTGAACCACAATCTGTAAAAACTAAAAGTAGCGACTTTATAAGCACAACTACTGCAGCACTTAGTACACCTCATGTAAATATTTGTTGTATGCAGTAAAAACTACAAGAAGCAATAGCAAAATAAATTGAAATGATCACATTTCAAATGCAAAACACAAACGAAACACATTCAACATCAACATCCCACACATTTTGTTTTCTGCTATTTTGTTGTTGTTGTTTTTGTTTATGCATTTCCTGTAATATTTCGTTTTTATGACCCACACTCTACAAATGTTTTTTTTTTTTTTTTTTTTTTTTTTTTGTCTGTCTCCCTGTCTGTTTGACTATGTATCCGCTGCATGTCCGTCCAATGGTGTCTGTTTTAAACTCAAAAACCAAGAAAGAAAAACATGTCTGTTTCAAATTCACACTTCAGAAATTTAAACAGCAGCAACAGTAATGGTTTGCTGCATCATAATCTTCTTTAATCAAAAGCGTCAATTTAACAGGTCAATGCATTTAATATTTGTATAAAAAACATGAAAATATTAATTAATAAAATTAATGTGGCTCAAATAGTTGTAGTAAATCTATTTGTATTTGGAAATATTATACAATATTTGTACTAAACAACCAGTTAAAAGTGTTTATTGTCCTCGTCAGACAAGACTGAAAACTAGAAAAACGTGTAGATAAAAACTAATAAAATAATAAAATTTACAAAAACAACAACCTTCACACATTGACGAAGACAGAAAAAATAAATTCCCAAAAAAAAAAACAAAACCAAAAACACATGAAATATTTCTTTTTCTACTAAAATACATACGATAGACATATATACATACATACATACTTACGTTAGTAATGTTTGTGTGTAGTTTGTTTTTGGTTTCTTTTTTTATACACATTGTACTGAATTAAACAACAAAATAAAAACAACAATATCGCCCAATATAATTTAGAAAAACAAAATTTATTTATGAATGAATATTTGACTTCAATCATGCCATACCACCGCGGCTGTGTTCAAATTAAACAACAAACCCCCTTTCTCCTCCCTTTTTTCAACCCATTCAACACCCTTTCGTTTCCCTCATTTTACGAACTCATTGAGAGAAGATAATTTTTGTTGTTTCATGAACGACAACTCATTTTCATTGAAGAATTTTTTGCGTACCAAAAAAATAGACAGAAAACACCTTCGAATTTATTAAAACAAAATGAAAAACAATATAGAAATTGATAAATATGTAGACCAATATTTATTTGTCATTAACATGGCTTCGATTATGACCAGGGAAACCAAAATATGCAATGTGTGTTTTTATGGTGTGTTGTATGGACTCATGTCATCATACCCATAAGAGCAAAATATAACATGAAATATTGATGTTTTCTAAATTTTCGGAATTTTTGAAAAAATATTAAAATTTTAAAGATATCGTCATGAGTGCAATATTAAGTACATATACATTGTGAGTTATTTAAGTTTTTGCGAAAACTCATGAGCTTTTTCAGAATTTTGGTCAATCTCCATTAAAAATTAGTCAAGTAAATTTTTTGAAAATTTTATACCTAAACCAAATACGGAAATGTGAATATGTCTATAATTTTTTAAACGTTTTTTGACTTTTGCATCTTAAAAATATATGTTATGTTTTTATATTATCAAAGAAAAGTATATTTAAACGTCAAATTCTGTTTAAAAAATCACTAGATTTATATTATAGAGTATTAAGACATACATACATATGTATGTATTTATTTTGTAAATTTCGGAGTGTTGGGCAGAATAATCTCTAATAAAAATGTTAAATGTGCGTGTGTATGCTTTGAAGGAAGTGTGTTTTATGGTTGCCAATAACATATTTTATGAACTATGTATATTTTCACAAAGAACTACATTATTTATTGCAAAAATTATGTATAAATGTTTCCATTAAAAAAATATTACAGTCAAAGAAATATATATTTATTCATCTTTTTCCTGTTTAGCTGTAAAACTATTAATAAAAACAAAAATAAATTAAAAAAATAGAAAAAAAATGGCTTAAATAAATTAATATTGATTTAAATTTTAGCATATATATTTACAAACAAAGGAAAATGTTTAAGAAATAATTTTTAATTTAGAAATTTCGTATTTCATATTAGTATTTTATATGTATGTACATTAGAGTGTCCCGAGGAACAGCTTTTTTTAGGATTTCATGTAGGAATACCTCTCAATCGATTCGTATTTATGTACAGAACAGGAGAAAAATAAAAAATTATTTTTGTAATAGTCCTCAGTTCTCTACCAGCGATAGCAAACACTGATCTCAGCATAATTTTTTAAAAATAAAATATCTTAGATTTTTTTTTTCGAAATGGGTCTCAAAAATTCCGTCATTTTGAGCTGATTACGAGAAAAATAATCTTAAAATTTTTGTAGAGTATTTTTGGTCCACAAAATGATTTTTAGTGGGTTTCGCATTTTATCGAAATAGGTGTCAAAATTGTCGTAATTTTTAGCTCATACAGCAAAATATTTAAAAAATTGTTTGGCATTTGGTTTAGTCCATTTTAGAATTTGCCCCTTATTATGCCGACCAGAAATACACTAACAAAAAATAATTTTTCCCACTATAAGCTCAAAATTACGGAATTTTTGCCACCCATTTCGAAAAGATTGCAGAAAATATTTTTTGAACATATTGTGCTGAGATCAAGATTTTCAATCGTTGGTAGGGAACTGAGAACCTTTTCAAAAAATATGTTGTTTTTCTCGCATCGTTTGAGCAATGAATCTAGCAATGAATATAATTTAATATATAAATTATTTATGTGCCAAAAAATTAAAAAGTACATACATACATATATGAACTTATGCAAAAATCATATTTTATCATTTTTGAAATATCCGTACTCAACTGAATATTGTGTAAATTTTTCATAAAAATCGGATCAGAACATTTGAAACATTGAAACGTTCTCTTCTTGAAAAGTAGAGATTTCAATTCTAGAAAAACATGAATTCAAAATGAAATTATCTTTAAAATATACTGGCAACACTAATGTATACATAAATTTAAACAGACAGACATCTATATGTTCTCGTCGGTTTATTTGCTCACCTGTCGTTTACTTTTCCGTTTCGTTTTCACTCCGTTTCATACAACCAGTTGGATTTTATTAAATTTTAGGAGTTCGCTGTCGCTTATACAATTATATATATGAAATAAAACACATAACGCAACTGAGCCTACAAAACGAACTTTAAATATGTAGCTAATATTTTATATTTTACTTTTTAATTTTCATTATAGAACCAATATATTTTTAATTTCATTTTTTCAGAATTTTACTTTTATGTACATAATTTTTTATATATATTTTTCCATTTAATACATTGTTTAATGATAAAAAAAACTAAATTATTGAAAAAAAAAATTATCTTTAATAAAAAGTGAAATATTATACAAATAACAATTTAAATTAATTAAAATTGTTCTCAATTCTAGCCATTAAAAAAATGTATGCCATTTTTGAACAATACGATAATATAAATAACACAACTCGGCAACTCTTTAAAAACTACTAAAATATACAGCGCCGTAATAAAAACATTAAAAGTGAACACAAAAACAAAGTGAAACGAAACAAGAATGCACCTGAAAAAGAAACGTTACATGAATGAGGAAAGAGACGACCCTACTACAGATACTACAAGCATTAGTTATGGATCCAACATGGCCGATAATACACGGGAAGTACGAATAGAGGAGCAATTAAAAGTTAAAATTGGTACGTAAATTATTGACAAAAACTACAAATAACTAAATAAATCGCGAGTGTAATAAATGTTTAAACAGAAAGTGCATAAATATATGAATATTTCAAAGAAATGCATTGAAATAATTGTAATAAAATGTGTTGGCGTTGTTAGTGCAAGAGAAGCGCGTCCACTTGTGTGTGTGTTCCTACTGAAATGGAAGTGAAACATTGTTGTCAAATTTAGCTGCTAAATAGCAATTCATCTAGTGCTTTTCTCTAAACAAATTATCAAAATTTACTTTGTAAATTTCATTAAGAAACATTAACAAAGCTGTGCGAAAAGAATTTGAAAAGTTTTCTCAAATGTGTTGGAATTTTTCATTGAAAAAAGACCATGGTGTTGTGCAAAAGAATTTATTTTTTTTATTTTATATTGTCGGTGAAGATACCAAATAGCTGTCCCTCTCACACCTGTGCTTGTGTACTATGTGACAATGAGTACCTTGTTCTCTATTACACCTTGTTTATTTTGCTTGGCGATTAGTGCAGTGTCAATATTTCCCAAGTTGGGGAACTAGTTGGTAAATGAAACAATTCTTTTTTAAAACGAAATTCCAATACAAATGCATCAGTTTTGTTTTTTTCTTCGTTTCACGTTTAGGTTTGGAAATGTGAGTGAGTGTGTGTGGTGTTGTTTTTTGTGTTTTGTTTGTGCCCCTCTTTCGTTTTAATGACAATACACGAAATTTGCTTCTTTTTATATAAATCTCATTTACGACAAGACTGGCGTAACTCAAAAAGCGTCGCTGTGAGAAAAATGTTTTTATGACAATATCTTAAATAATGGAATTTGCAAAATTAAATCTGATTTAAATAGTAGAGATTAATATGATTCCCCTTTGGGATATAAACTAAATTGTCACATCACTTACTGATGATAACATGATTTTAGGTTTTAATATTTATAGCAAAAAATCTCTCTCTTACCAAAGCAATATAAACTTTTTAAGTACATTTGACAGTATTAAGAGAAGGACTCAGCAGTTTCTAGTACTTTTATTAAAAACCACACATTTTTAGTTATGCCGGTCTTGTAGCAAATGAGCGATATCATTCTTTATGAATGAAATTTTCATGTTTTGTTTATGCTTCCATTCGTTGTCTTCGTTTTCGTTGCTGCGTTCCTGTTTGTTGTATAGTATTTTTTGTATTTTGTGTTGTTAAATTTTATGAATGAATACCATGAATTTAATTCAGATGCCCAGACCTTCAAAACATAAATAAAATATGGAAAAAGATGTAGAATTTTCATCACAACTAGTAACCCGAAGTGCTTCAAATTCAGGTGAAAAACCTATGAAATTTAAATTACATTTAATCTTATCTTTAGAAGCTGTAAAAATCCGATATTTGTATGTCAAAAATAAACCACATTCTTTCAATGAAACGCTTATGTAAATTTCATTGATTTTTCATCAAAATTTGAAGTACATACTTTGAATATGTTGTTTGTAGTGACTTTTCTTCATATCTTTCCCCATTTTTAACTGTGTTTTCATTTGTAAGGATATGTTTGGTTTATAAAAGCGAAAAGTATGCAATCGCATTTTTAGATGTGATTAAGATGTCGTTTGTAAAGTATGACATCAATTATTTTTTGCTGGGACATATTAAAAGTGTTTTATATTTGTAATTGTTTTCAACAAGATTATCACAGATTTAAATTAAAAACGTTCCTTTCTTAAAGAGAACAAGAGTCTTCTAAAACATTTATTAAAAAAAAAAATAACAATAAATAGAATGGTGTGGAAATAGTATTCCCTAACTGAATGAATGGGTCAATGAATAAAAGAAATTAAAAAATCTTGCAAATTCATAGGTATATACATATGTATATCCTGCAGTTGTTCCGGACAGTCCCGAACTAACCATTTAACTTACCACTTAGTGTTACCCCAACAAGGAAGCCTGTCGTCACTCAAAAGATTACAAAGAGTCAGTCGGAAAGCTGGTCCAAATTAGTCATTGCATGGAAATGGATATTTTTGCATAAGTGTTTTTAAGTGTCCACTTTCTGACTGTCTTTTTGGGATTCATTGACTCTTTATCGAACTGCTGGGTATGTGTATGTATATTTCAGCATTTCCAAAACACTTTACTTTTTATTCGGCCGGCATCCGATCAGCCTAAGATTCCCATAGTTTTATCAAAAATTTTTGTTATAGTTACCTACATACCTATTTGATTTGCAAAAAATGTTTTGTATTTTTCTTTTAATGAATACTAATTCCTACCTTCAATTTATTTTTTACTTTTTAATAAACACAATTATATTCATACATATATACTCAAACTTAGAGTGTCAGCAATTTTTATAAAGTTTATTTTTTTCTCTTTTTTTGTTAGTATTTTTTTTTTCAATTACCTTGACGTTAAATATGCAAAATTTAAGGGCAAGCAACCAAAACAATTTAAAAATGAAACAAGGTGTCTTTTAGATTCCAGTAGAAAATATTTCGTTTCTGATAATTTTAATGTTATCACTTTTAGCCAAATCGCAAACTTATTTAGCCAAATTCTATCCCTCGCAAATCTGGCAAAATTTGTACTATGTATTTCAAAATTGAAATATAAGTTTAACTAAAATATTCAAATATTTATAAAAGCGCACCGAATGGCTTCATAATAAATGGGAGGAATTTTGGAAATTTATTTTTTTATGTTTTTTGTTGTTTCAAATAAATATTAAACCTGACTGTTAACATTATTTTTTATAACTTCTATTCTAGAAAAAATACATATTGGGGGACAATATTCAATAGAGGCTATATTATATTTTCATGAAAATGAGATTAATCCGTGATATAAATTTCGTTTTTAAATTAATTAAAAAAAAGAAATTTATTAATGCAAAACTCTTCTATATTTTACAAAAATTTTATTTTTTAATCGTATTTAACCACCTTTACGAACTAGCGAAAGTTATTTGCTCTTCTGAAAACTTGTGTTATTTAAGAGAGAGAGAAAATTGAATATCGAGCCCCTCGAAATGCTTTAAATTATATTTCCAATTTTTATTTTTCATTACTACATACTGATTAGTTTAGAGATTTGTTTATTTACTTTCCCCCAACGTGTTTCTATTGATAGTTTGTCAACCCCCGTGTTTAAGTTAAAATTGATTTAACTACCTTTTTGAAATACTATTTATAACAACGTTAGAATCCTATAAAGCTTCCCTTTTTTTTGCAACTTTGTTGGAATATTCTAACGAGTAACCGCTAACGGTGCTTAAATATTGTTTGCCACCAAATTTATGCTTGTTTCGTTTGACATTATAAATCACTTTTTGATTTGTCTACGACACAAGCACTACGTGCAATTACATTTACAAAACCATCTACTTCTACGAGGTAATATTTTGGTTTAAATAAAAAGAGATCTTCATCTCTAATAAATTCGAAATACACATTTGTTTTATTTTTATATAAAATCTTGGGAATCTTGTTGGAGCTGAACATTGGTCCTAGCGAACCGGATTTCTTAGATCATTTATCGGATTTTTTGGATCTTTATATCAGTACCGGATCTTCTTTGGCACCTTCAACTCCATTCCTATAATACAGTCCACCGGAGATATATTTATCATTTATTTATTTCTACGAAATAAGGTACGTAAATATATTTCAATTGTGAGCAAGTGATAAAATTCGTTTGTTTTGTTTCGCGAACATACACACACATATCCTTTGTGAATTTTTGTTTTATTTTTTTAATTTGTGGATACACTAATTCGAACTCTAATTTATATTTAAAATTTTTTAATTTATTTTTGATCCTACGGACAATGTATTAAATTAAAGTAAATTTTATTAAAATTTTATTACAAAAATCAGTGGTTTTTACATTTTCTTTTGTGCGTTATTTGTTTACAGATTTAGATCTGTAAAATAAAACAATAAAATACATAAACGGTTGATTCTTCTTCTACCTTTATATTAGTCACCCTACGCTCGGCCAGTTTGACTATTATCACATTTGTTTATATACATTTTGTAGTCAAGTAGTATTTTTAATTTATTTATTTTAAACGACTTTTCAAATATTAAAAAATGTCGGTTTCGCCACTAAACTCGTTTATTAGAGCATCGGATGCTCTTATTGCATTCGGGGCTATGTTTAGTAATTTTGACGAAGAAATTCATACGGTTTATACTTTGGAGATTCAGAGTCAAGAGTTAAAAACACTTTGGGGTAAAGTTAAGACGACGTATAATGAATGTCTTAACTCTTTAGAGTCCGAAGAATTTGATGTGGCAGCGGCTAAATATAAAGCTACCTACACAGCGTATATCCAATGCGGAGGATCTATCCATGAAAAAATAGATGAATTCAAATCTGCTTTGAAAAGCAATGAATCTCCAACGGTAAATTCGAACTCCGGTAATACAGATCATAATCTAGCACTACCTCCTTGTGATATTGATTCATTCAGAGGTGATTATGTTTCTTGGCCCGCTTTTAGGGATTTATTTACCGCAATTTTTATTAATAGCTCGCGGCTTAGCAATATAGAACGACTTTGCCATTTAATAAGAAAAACCGAGGGTGAAGCAAAAGAAATCGTTTCTAAATATCCACTTGTTAACGCAAGTTTTGAAGTAGCCTGGCGCGATTTAAAGGAAGCATATGAGAATCCTCGTATGTTGGTACATAACCAACTAAAAGTTATTTTTGGCCTTCCTTTCCTTGACAAGGAATCGATAACAGCACTCAAAACACTACAACGCGGAATTAATAGTTGCCTTTCGGCTCTTTCTATTTATAAAGTGCCTACGGATAATTGGGATCCAATTATAATTTTTATGTGTATTCAACGTCTGCCTAGATCTACAGTTATTTTGTGGGAACAGGGTGTTAAAAACAAAACTGTTTTGTCTACATGGAAAGATTTCGATAACTTTCTGACAGAAAGAATTCAGACATTGCAATGTCTTCAAGATCTTAAAGGTACGAACTCGACTGACGTC